CATATATTTAATAAATATTTTCTCCATTCCTAGATTTTTGGAATATACATCTTTCATATGATTCTGCTTTTTTATATTTTCCCCTGAAAGTTTTGCTGTGAATTAATTCTCCAAGGAGAAGGTGACAACCTCACAGTCCCACAACTTAAATACTATCTAACACTGATGCTCCCAAATACATTCCTTCTGCTCTGTGGCTGCCCCCGAGCTCTTGTTGTCCCTCTCGGGAGTCTGAGGCATTTCAAATGTTACAGAACAATAACTAATCAACCCCAACAACTTAAATCCCAGACTTACTCCATTTCCAGAATTCCTTGTTTCATTTAATGACACTATCACCCCACCAAGGGTAGTTCTTACCCTTGTTCTCTCCCTCTCTATCCCATTTCCAATCCATCAACAAATCTTAATTAACTCTCCTTCCAGTATTTATTGAAATCTCCCAGCTTCTCATGGTGACCACTCTTCTTATTCTAGTCCCAATCACCACGATCTTTTGCCTTTGTTGCTTACTTCCTCTATTTTTGCTCTTCTTCTACTTTGGTCCATTTTCCAAAGTGAAGACTAAATTATCTTTATGAAACATTAATTAAATTATATCACTCTCTCCCTACAGTCTTTGGTTTCCCATCCCACTTAGGATAAAATCTAAACTCCCTGCAGGGTCTACCAAATTCCCCTTAATTCAGAATATATCTCTCTTTCTCTCCCCTTCACTCACTCTCTTGTGGCCACATGCCCTTCTGTTTGTTTTGTGAATACAATAAACCTATTTCTACCACAGGTCCTTCGAACATAGTATTCCTTTTGCCCCACACACAGTTCTCCCGGATTTTTCAGATTCCCTTCTTCTCCTTCTTCAGTATCAACCCAAACATCCCCCTTTTGGTGGCCTCTATGGGGACACTCTTCTTAAGTACCTTTTCCTACATCATACCATTTTGTTTTCTTTCTGTCAGCTACAGTTATTGTACTTACATATTTTTTCCTAGAATGTAAATCTCATGTGAACAGAGTTGTGTCAGCTTTGTTCACCCCTTTAACTTGAGTGCCTTGTACAGATGAAGGTCCATAGTAGAAACTTAATAAGTACTGGTTGAATATTTTGAATAAATTAATTATTAAGACTTTAAATTGGAGAGGGAGACAAACCATGAGAGTCTGTGGACTCTGAGAAACAAACTGAGGGTTTTGGAGGGGGGTGGGGCTGGGTGAGCCTGGTGGTGGGTATTATGAAGGGCATGTATTGCATGGAGCACTGGGTGTGACGCATAAACAATGAATACTGGAACACTGAAAAGAAATAAAATAAAATAAAATAAAATAAAATAAAATAAAATAAAATGGAAAAATAAGATATTTAAAAAGTACCATTTTTCAAAGCAAAGTTCGTACCCACTTGTTTAGTGACTGTAATTACAGAGGTTACATGGTAGAAAATGAGGTGCTGCTCAATGAGAGGCCAAAAAGAAAGGTGTTTGGAGGCTAATGAATGGAGCCAATTTTTGCTAATAAATGTGGTTGGCTTCTTTCCATATATTTAACAGGGGAAAAGGACAAGAGGAACATTAGTTTATCCTTATGATGACAGATGTCATTTTCACTATTAAATGCACTTAATACCCACCACAATAAGAAAGATGGAATTCTGTGGAAACATAAATAAGTGATCATCTAAATCTACAGATTTAGATTCTGAAATATAGTCCTACCTTTACTTCCTCCCTTTGTCTCACACTCCTCCCAAATTAAGAAGTTATCGCTTATAGAAAACAATTTTCTGAAACTTTTCAGACCTGACACTGTGCTAGGTCTTTATAATTCCTCCTTGATAGTGACAGTATAATAGCCATCCCCACAAGGGCACACATGTATGATTAGCAGTCAGAAGTCTAGCAAAATCAAAAACATCTCTTCATCTTCGGGACAGCTGGTTTAGGAGAGAACATGTTCTAAGCCATTAAAGGTGAATATTTTCACGACACCTGTACAAAATGACTTTCTGCTATCTTCTCTAAAAACCCAAATTTCAATCCTCATCCTATAGCCTTTAAGAGATAGACCTCAAAGGTAGCATTTTATATCATATCCTTTTATAGTCCTGGAACAAAACTTGAGCATGAATAATTAGAGATCTGTACACTCATAGGAAGATGAAAGAATTGGGTTCAATTTAACACAGGAGCTAAAAAAAAAAAAAAAATAAGTGGAATTATTTCCCTCTGCCATCTTGAAAATGATACGGCTTTAAAACCAATGAAAGAAGAAGACTGATGTTCTGTTGGATGGGCTACATACCAGCAAACCCTCTTCCTAAGAGTTTTTATAAACCTTTATATTTTGACTATCCACTTATTTCTTTGTGAATATGTTTTCTTGTATCTGTAGACTCTTTCCTATATAGCAGCTCCAGCCTCATTACTTATAACGAGGTTTCCATCAGCTTTCATCATGTGTATGTTCCACAAAGTTTGAACCCGCACCTACTGGACAAGTGTATTTACATATTTCTACATTACACACACGTGCCATCGCATTGTTATCTATATTATACACTTTCCTACAACCGAATAAATTAACATAATGAGTAGCATAAATAGACACTGAAGTTCATTTTTCCTTCCTGCCGTCCAGTGGATTGGTTTGTGCACTCTCTGGGGGAATGCTTAGCCCACTTTGGAGACCCCTAAGATTTTATCTCAAAGAGAAGAACCGATTCTCTTGATCTTATGAGCAATGTGCACTAGAATTTCGAATAGTCTAGATCTGCATACCTCATTATACCATGTTACAGTGCACGATGCTATGAGGTGCCAGCGAGACCAGGCATTTGTTCCTCCAGCTGCAGGTAATGGTGTTGGCTGCTGGTAACTCAGAGCGAAGGTAACACTCCCCTGCCTCCACCCTAATAGCCCTCATCCAATTACTGGTCCAATAACCTACCTCCTTGTTTCAATTCAGGTCAACTGGAAAGCACTGTCCTAGCTTCAGAGTTCCTACTGGATTCAGAAGAAGATTCCATTATTACTGCAAATATGGTTCAATTGCTTTCTCTCTCTCTACAGCGCTACTTCCTCTAGTCCTTTACTGACGGCAAAGGCACCCTGCCAGAAATCTCCTGCACACAGGTCTTTGTTCCAGAGTCTCTTATGTGTTGAGTTCCTAATAGATTGTTTATTGAGCCATTAGCAATTCAAGTATTAATAAAATATCCTAAATCTTACTGAGCCCCCATTTGGTTCTCACTGAGTCAAGATTAATTTCACCTGGAGGTCTTCTTTGTTCTTCTTACTATGGAAAATCAAGGCTCCAAAAATTGGACAGGAAGAGTGACCTCCTTCTTCTAAATGCCTAAGTGACATTTACTGATTGGCTTAATATCACTGCTTCTGAGGACAACAGATCTCCATCCAGATCTTAGCCATTCTGCCCCAGGCTGTGGTCTAGCTCGTACTGCTCACTCTGATACTTCCATCAATGTCACTTTAGCTCCTGACACAATCCTGGTACCACTCAGGTTCAAGAACTGTCAGAGCACTTGGCCTACTAGCAGCATAAGGCAACTATCTACTTTACCTGAGAGGTCTCTCTCTGAGAGAATTGGTTTAACTCACTAGAGGCTATGAGGTTTAACTCACTAGTAGTCACAACATCACTTTTCTCCTACACTTTCTCAATGGAACTTACTTTTGGTTCTGCCATCGACGGTGACAGCTATGCTTTCCCAATGCACCAGTCATAGAATAGCCAAAGTAATCATTATTGTCTCCTGGAAGGGAGAGATCTATGGCGTTGGACATAGGGCCTTTAATGTTTACATTTCCTCTGGTCAAGACACAGACTTTCATAAAAAAGGAACCCTAAGAAGTGGGCCTACATAAACTCAAATTTTGCAGAACAACTATGAACAGCATAACAATGACTCTAGTTTTGTTTTGTTTTGTTTTGTTTTAGAGAGAGAGAGAATGTGTGCCTGTGTGAGTCAGGGGGAGAGAAGGGTGGGCAGAGGGAGAGAGAGAATCCCAAGCAGGGTCTGTGCCCAGTGTAGAGGCCCACATGAGGCTCAATCTTATGACCTGAGATCATGACTTTAGCCAAAATCGATTTGGATGCTTAACCTACTGAGACATCCAAGCACCCCAGAGTATTTTAATATTCATAAAAACTCAGTACTGTTTAGGTATAGTTTCTGATATAGAATATCAGAACTATCCATCCAAGGCTTTACTTAGAAAAAATGAGAATATATGCATAGATAAATTGTTATAAAAAGATGAATCCTAAAAAAATAGTCCTCCTTAGCCCAAACTCCAATAGATGAAGAATGGAGGGTTGCCATTATAGCATGTAACATAATATTTGATTCTAATTAAAATATTAGTTCAATGAAATGCTCTTTTGATAGACATTTACATGCTTCATATACTATATATTAAAAATAGTAGTACACACTTGATTACAGTTTATTAAGGATAAAACATAAGTATTTCATAAATAGTCATTAGGTAGATTATAAGATAATATGCAAAAGGTGATACAGGAAATAAATACAAAAATGCATTATTGTTCATTTATGACTTACCTTTTATTAAAACTGGAGCAAAACCCCTCATAGCAAGGCTCAGAGAGTTACCTGAAAAGCGACTCCAGTGTCTCCTATGGTCTGTGTTTTCTCTAATTGTCACAGCAGTCCCCATGTCTAACTTCATTCATTGGGGATAAAGCTTATCCTAAGATTTTCACTATACCTTGAAATTGTGAGGCTGTGCCTCCTTTTCACAGATACAGACTGCCCTCAATTAAGATATGACTGTACATTGATTCTGTACGAAAATTTCTCAACAAAATATTTCTAAAACTCTTGATACAAATAATTTATTCCAATACTCATGTTTAGGTAGGACCATCAAATAGGATTAGTAGATTTATCACATGTAATGGAAAGCAACCACTTATTATTTACCATTGATTATACCAATAAGTAGAGTATCTGGACTTACCTGAATAACATGCTTCAGTTTATCAATAATTTGATTTATCACGGGATCAGTTCCTCTGACTTTGACTTCGGGATTTCCAGACTGGGCTTTGATTCCATTGCCAACCACACGCTGAGTATAGCTAACAAAGAGAAAAGTGGAAGATACGAGACTTAGCAACCTGCCAGAATATTATCTGCCACAACCATTTGAACATACTTGAGCTCAGAGTCTTACTCTTTTAAGAGTGTACAATATATATATGTTTTTCTTGGAACAGACCCTGGCCCAACTGCACCATTTTTTTGGTAAAATGCTTACCATGCAAATATAAACTATTCTAATGTTTCTCTCCCAAAAGACGTAACCAAAAATTAATTGTTTTTTTTTCTTTTAGGATTTTATTTATTTATTTGACAGACAGAGATCACAAGTAGGCAGAGAGGCAGGCTGAGAGAGAGGGGGAAGCAGGCTCCCTGCTGAGCAGAGAGCCCGGTGTGAGGCTCGATTCCAGGACCCCGGGATCATGACCTGAGCTGAAGGCAGAGGCTTTAACCCACTGAGCCACTCAGGCGCCCCAATTAATTGTGTTTTAATATTATTTATTAATATACTAAAGAAAGCTACTATACATCCTAATTCATTACCAGATTTTGCTGAATTACGCATATGTCTGAATCCATATTATCTGGGTCAATTTATTTTATTTTATATAATATATAAATGAGTCCCAATGCTATTTTTTACATATTGGACTATAAAAGTCAAAACTATGAACATCATAAATAACTAAAACTGGCAAAATATTTTGCAAGCAGAAAAAAACTACAATCTTTCATCAACATTTATCTGAACAAGGATCTAGTAAATCATGTTGTATGTAATAGGCGGTCTTCACAGGTGGTTAAAGTCATTGCAAATCACTATCTTCCTAAAATGATAATTTAGATTCATCAGTCACAATGCTAGGAATAAAGGAGATGTTCAGTATGCTATTGGAATAGCTAGAAGGAATGGTATCTGCCATGTGAGAGGTGAGGGATAACATGAGTAGTAAACACTGAGCATGTGGAGAAGTCCGTCTGAATTAAGACACTTGGGGGAGAATTAAAGAAGTTATAGCTTGTGTTAGCCCTTGAAGTATTAAGGGAAGAATAGGCCTGAGATGGTAGAGTTAATGTAAACTCCAGAGCAAAGGGTGACATCCCAGCAGGAGAAATGGCAAAGGCATATGAATAACACACACAGGGAAGAATCGCTAGGGTTCTATTTACAAAGAGTACAAATAGGGAAAAGTAAGAGATAGGAGGCCATGCCCTGGACATTCCATACTCTTTCCATTTAAGACTCTCCTCTGAGTAATCTATTTAAATAGAAGTCATGATAAAGTGGCCTCAGAGACTTTTCAGCAAGCATTTTCACATTACGCTTAATGTAATATTTCTTCCCTCTATTTGAGCAGAGTATCACAGCTATCCACATGAACCCTCTGGACCTTCCACAGCAATGGAAGCTCTTTGAAAAGGTGAAAGGAGGTTCCACTATTGAGAATATGGCCATACAAAAGAAGTTTTAAGGAATATCCAATTCCTCCCCAAATTCAGCATGCCCAGTGATTAATTTCTACAAGTGGGTCAAACAATTACCAACTAGATCCTTCCAATTAAATGATGGAAATTTTTTAAATCGATATCAGTTGCACATGACAAAAATAATGATATTAATATCTTTTTTATTTTTAAAACAACCTTGAACCCACTTCTTAATGCAGAAATAGAGGGGTATATAGTTAGGTATTCCAGTATGCATTAGGGATTTGGCAATATATACCAATAACAATAGAAGAAAATCAATTATACAAATCTATTGATGTGTAATAATATCATTTATTTAGAAGGAATTAAGTAAACTATAAATATTAAACTTTTCTTAACTCTTCTGTAGCATTATTATATTTTTCTTTCAAATATTTCAAGCAGATTGCACATGTGGCTCCTTTATTGTATTTATTATTAATAATGATGAATAATATGGACAAATGGACAAGTTTGTCCATTTGTGGACAATGCATGTCCTAAGTGGACAAATGCATGTTTATGATCCAGGCATTGTTTTAAATACTTTCATTGGAGTTTGTCAGTTTATTCACATGATAATCATTTGTTGAGGGCATGAGAATGTGCCTATAGACCTCGAAGCACAGGAAATTTAATTGACTAAGTGTACCCGCTGCTTTGCTCTGAAATCTATTTCTGCACCTGCCCCCAACCAATCACTGTGTTCAGGAGGGATACTAATGCAGAACCATCAGTGGAAGACAGAGGGCTCCTCTGACAGCCAAGTTTGTCTCAGGATTCCCTGAAACCCTTGCTAACCTTTCCTTGGGCTGTAGGTCATGCTTGAACGCTCCACTCAAATTTCTTACCCCTCCCCTTCACTCTGGGTCACAAGTGCTTCATGACTAACAGCTTTACCAGCCTTACTCATTTCCACCCCATTTGCTTGGATAGGCATTTCCCTTAAGAAAACCCTCTTGTGTTTAATTCCTTTTTGTCATCTGCTTCTTGGAGAATCCAGACTAATACATCATACAATATTTACATTATAAGGATTCCCACTCTACAGATTGGGGATCTAGGATCTGACTATGTTCAGTAACTTTCCCAATGCAACATTTTGTTAACTGCGCAGCAAGGGTGTGAATCCAGGGAACATGAGCTCCAAAATACAATCACTCAATAATTATTAATGAAAACTCCCGAAATCAACTAATATAATCTGGAAATACAATCAGTTTTGTGCAAAGCATTTTTTTTCTTTTTGTAATTTTTTTCCTGTAACTATAGCATTTTCAAATATTTTACTACTTATAACTAGAAAAGGATATACTATTTTCTTAAAAAATCACAATGAACAGTTGTATACTGCCAGCTAAAGAGTGACGTAATGCTTGATAGAGGGTTGAAATAATAGATGGCAAATTTGCTATAAGATTCCCCTATTTCTCTAGAAACACAGATATAATATGAGCAATGAAAACTTAGTCTCATCTCTCAATTTTAAATACAGTAAAACTTTACACAATAAAGGTTTGAGCTCTCTGGGTCCACTTATACGTGGATTTTTTTTTTTTTATACATGGATTTTTTTTTTCAATAAATACAGTACTATAAATATATTTTCTCTTCCTAATTATTTTCTTAACAATATTTTATTTTCTCTAGCCTACTTTATTGTAAGAATAGAGTATATAATACATATACAAAGTATGTGCCAATCAACTGTTACCGGTAAGGCTTCTGGTCAGCTACAAGCTATTTGTAGTTTCAGAAGAGTCAAAAGTCATACATTGATTTTTGACAATGCCCCTAACCCCCATATTCTTCATAGGTCAGTTGTAAACTACTTTGGTTGCATCTTGGTTTATGTATAGACCATGAACGTTCTTTCAAGATGCAGGAATGTCATGTCACAGTAATCTGAAGAACTTCCCATTTTTTATTCTTAACTGTCACAGTTGATAGCACAGATAAATTTTATCACAATTACAAATGATCAAGAATCTCATTCCAACCTAGTGTATTATTCACTAGTTCAATATCACTATTCTTACATTATTACTTAAATAAGGAAAAATACTCCAGCATGGCATTTAAGATACTTCAAGTGAAAAATAATCTTTAAAAACCAGTTTTTCTTTCCTTTTTTTTTTTTAAATAAGGTTAAGAAGAATCACAATGCAATAGCAGTACATACATACCAGAATAGTTTAAAGGAAAAAGACAGATGATACCAAGGGTTGGCATGGACATGGACCAGTTGGAGCCCTCTCTCTTTGTGGATGAGTGTGTAAACTAATGTAAGCCACTATTTGACATGTATACTAAAGCTAACAATCCCATGGTCCTGGGGATATACTCAGCAATGTTTACTGAAAGACAGCTATAAGAATGCTCAGGGAAGTATTACTCTAAATAGCCTCACCCAGGCACCTGGGTGGCTCATTTGGTTAAGCAACTGCCTCTGGCTCAGGTCATGATCCTGGAGTCCCAGGATCAAGCCCCGCATTGGGCTCTCTGATCAGCAGGGAGTCTGCTTCTCCCGCTGACCTCTCTCCTCTCACGCTTTCTCTCTCTCTAATAAATAAATAAATAAAATCTTTAAATAGCCCCAACCAATGTCCATAAGCATTAAGATGGGAAAATAAATGGTAGTATATTTATATAATGATATACTATATAGCAATGAGAATGAATGAATTTAACTATATACAATATCTTGTAGGTTAATGCTAAATGAAAGAAGCTAGGTATAGAATATACTCTATGACCCCATCTATGAAAGTTTGACAATAAATCAATGTTCTAATTCACCATAAGTGCTACTTTAGGAGATACAGTCTAGAAGGTTGAAGTGGATTTCTGGGGTTCTAGTAATATATTCCTTGATTTGGGTCCTGGTTACACAAGAATGCTCATTTTGTATGAAAAAAAAAAACTGAATTGTACAGTTAAGATTTGAATATTTCATTGTTTGTTTGTATTTTCAACCCAAATCAAACACTTACATTAAAAACTCCTCATCCTCTTTGTCTTAAAATGTATACAACAGACAAATTTTCACTGAACCCTGTATAAATAAAAGATCCACACAAGTATTTTTAACATGGGCTAAATGCTTTTGTCATCACTAAATGAGTAATTTAGGATCTTAGTTTGATATAAAAACTTACTCCCTGCTGTCTTTACTTTGCATGCAAAATATATGGTTTCTTAATCAAATAAAATTTTTCTAACAAAGACTTTTTGAGTTTTTTATTATGAAATTTTAATAAATCATTAAATCACATTTTCCTCCTAAATGTACCAGTAATGGATAAAACATTTCAAGGATCCCTACAGAGGTTTCTTGACTTGAAAAATTGCTTGCATTTCAACTAGAAGAATGGAATAAAACACACATCCCAAAAAAAAAAAAAAAAAAAAGAGGCACATTTTTTTGTAATAGACCCACCATCTGGGCTTATTTCTTCTAAGCAGGTTGGGTAATAGATGACAGCAGTTTAATAGGAATACTCACTCCCCAAGTACAACTTGCTTTTCATTAGTATGGAAAAAAAGGCAAGCCCTGATATATTTATAT